TCGAACCCACAGGGAGATGATGTAAATGTAACAAGGTTTTCATGCACTTAGCTCTATCATCGGGCGTTTCTTCGTGAAGGAGGGGGATGGGCATCTGGTCGGTTGATTCCAACATTACAGAAAACACTGTGTGTGTTTACTAAAACACCAAACACTGTTGTTTTATTTGTTTCCATCAAAACGCAAAACGCCGTTGTTTTCCATTGACCACAAATCAATCAAGCATTTGTAACTTTACTTATACCGTTGACAATTTTATTCTTGTGTCAGCCAATACTTCAAACAGTGTTAATCGTCTAGTGTCCCTGGTAACTTAAACAGCGTTGTTCAATTTTAATCCCCAATACACCAAAACGTTTCACCAATACGTCAAACAGGGACGTTCTTCATGTGTCAACCAATGTATGAATCACTTGTCTTGATACCTCCAATACGTCAAAGTTGATGATTCGTCAAAATCTCGATTCACCCAAAAGTTTATTTGATTTCAGAAAAAGTCTGCTTTTCTTGTTTCATGAAGGGTTGCATTTTGTGTTAGTTTGTATGATGCTTCCGTTGTGACGCCAATCATCTGCACAAAATGTTGCTCTTGTTCGTAATTCCACCAACATTCCCCATGTTCTTTTCTCACTGTTTCTCCGGTTCATGCTTTGCATTCATCAACACCTCGCGTTGTTTTCCCAATCCCAGAGGATTAGCTGTGACGAATGTCCTTTGTGAGCCACTAGAAACTACAAATATTTAGGAAAGACGAAAATCAAGAAACTCTCCGCAAATGTCAGCGCTGTCGTCTCCTAGCCAGAAACTCTGGTTAATTATCATGAAGATGTTCCAATCTTACAACACACTTAAAATATTCTTTAGGATCTGCTTTATCCCGGGCAGCACATTGGCATTGCTTTCATAATAAGGAACTGCCTGGAGTAAAAGATGTTTGGGGCTACATGCACTGGGTCATGAACTTTCATCGAAGACATACCCTCAGATTATCTTTCTCCATTCTCCGGAAATGTCATTATCTGCAACTTACTCTACAGCAATTTAGTGTTCCTTTTTGTTTATTTGTTGTTTAACGCCGCGCTCAGCAATATTCCAGCTATATGACGGCGGTTTAGTGTTCCTAGACGATGTAGTTTGAGCAAACTCTAAATACGCATTACCCTAGACGAGTGCTACCGGCAGGACAAGACAGTCTCTACCTGTTTTCGTACATCTGCTACTTTCCTTGAACGTTTCATTTGACTACTTCGTAAGTGCATCTTTTGATATAACTGTCACTTCCATTTTTTGTTTGGCAGTGGGGTAGCCTAGTGGATAAAGTGTTCGCTCGTCACGCTAAAGACCCGGGTTCCATTCCCCAGAATAGAATGTGTGAAGGCCATTTCTGGTCCCCCGCCGTGATATTGCTGGAATATTGCTAAAAGTGGAACAAACCCACACTCACTCATCCATTCTTCACAACTTGGGAGACTATGTCATGGAGAAATCAGGAGAATCTGTTGATTTGGGGAGTTGAATCATCGAGTTGATTCTTTTTCCGGAATCCCCAGATTCGAGTGATTTCTCTTTCTTAAACCATGTGACAGTTGAGACAGAACTGCTATGTAACCTTTCACTAAGATCTCTAGGTGCATCAATGTACTAGTTGTACTCACTCCGTTTTGTGCACTCTGCGAACGTGTCTGTGACGGAGAAACAAGGATGACAACTTCTAAGGCTTTGAATGATGCTACTCATTATTGATCTCATCGCAATGCCATAATCTTGACGTATCTTACACCCCAAAGTAAACAATGAAATAATTGCAATTCAGGCTCCCTACTTCAGGGTGTGATAAAATGGAGAAAAAAAACCAAACTGTTTTTACCGCTAAATTCAAATGTTTTCACAAATGAAGAGTTAAATCATATTTAAATTAAACATACATGTATATCCTATAGAATTCAATAGCTTTATGTATTTGTTTTATGTGCTCAGATTGATTGTTCAATGGTGTTAAGGTGAGGTGAGGTGAGGAGAAATGGGGTTTAACGTCGCGTCCAAGATTATTGCACTTATATAGCGACGTGCATGTACGTGTGTGTGTTTGTGTGGCTGCTTGTACTAGTCCGGACTGATGCCGATTTATAGTGCTAGCTCACTGAGATACCATGCCGCAGTTTAACATGAATACCCCACTCAGACACAGTATACTGACTCCGAGCCGACCAGTCCTTGTTTTACCCCCTTAATGCCGAGCGCCAGACAGGGTAACAACAAGTACCATCTTTTAACGTCTTTTGGTATGACGCGGCCGGGGATCGAACCCCGGACCTTCCGCTCTCCGGGCGGACGCTCTACCACAGGACCACGGAGGCGGTCCAATGGTGTTAAGACCTGAAATAGTACCCAAGCTTATAACCTGTCTAGACTCCATGTAATACATTACTAAACGAGAATATTGCCTGCGAAGCACATTTGTCAAGACTGCTCACACCTCTAATGAACGTAACTCGAGCGGGATCGTTATTTCCATCAGACCAAAGGCACTTACCCTTCATGGTAGAGTGTGATTTCATCTAGGTTCATAATTAGCTATATTCTATGACCCGAAATTGCTTTTATAATTGCTTGGCTTAAATGAAATTATTTATTGAGAATATTGGGAATATTAACATAACATGTAGTTATCTTGCTCTGAATGTCATAAATGTGTGTGGGTTTATTTTAACGCCTAATGTCACACTATTTCAGTCTTATCACGATGTTTCATAGGTATGTGAGTGAGTGAGTTGGGTTTAACGCCGCTTTGTAACATTATTCCAGTTATATCACGCGTGTCAGCTTAATGTGGGATGAAAGCCCGAAGTGATGCAGGTCTCAGACATTAACCACTTCGGTGAAACCCACGAGCAAGGGTATTGTGCTGACAAACCTAGAAACATAATCGGGGCGAACCGGGATTCGAACCCACAATCATAGTTTTCTGGCGTGCCCAAGGGACGCAACCCTGCACAGAGAATCGCGGCGCCTTTGACGACATGGCCATCCGTGCCCCCCATAGGTATGTGAAATCGTGATCGCTTTTAATGCTCTAGTTTATAATTGTTGTAGTACGTAAGGTTCAAGGTATGAGCTGTACAAAGTAATCTTAGCACTACGATTATTGTAAACCTGTGTTAAAGTAGGGAAAGGGTGGTCGGGTAGCCTAGTGGTTAGAGCGTTCGCTCGTCACGCCGAAGACCCAGGTTTGATTCCCCGCATGTGTACAATGTGTGAGACCCATTTCCGGTGTCCCCGCTGTGATATTGCTGGAATATTGCTAAAAGCGGCGTAAAACCATACTCACTCACTCACTAAAGTAGGGACGTTTTGACAGTAGAAGATCTCCATTGGGGAACAAGGACATATGACAAGTCCCTTGTCAACATGATGTTCGATGCAATTCCATACTTTAACCTTTCCATGGTTGTCACACGTCCTTTCTCTCTGGCACTTACTGTAAAGGATCGGATGATCAAGCTTGGTTGATAGCTTAGTGTCTTTCCCCGATGGCGTATATCATTGCTCGTAATATCAATCAAGGGCTTGTCTGGTCCAGACTCGGTTGTGTATAGGCCGCCGTCATATGGAGTAAGTATTTGTGTTGCATCAGGCAAAAAATCATTTACTTGTTTAATGAAGATTGTGAGTGGCGGTGGTTCCGGTAGAGGACATGCCTACCCTTTTTGTGAACACCTGGTTTCATCACTACTTGTCAGTGATCCATTCATCTAATTTCCATCCCTTTTACGCCCAGTGGAATCTGTTTCGGTAGATACTCGAGACTGATTATTCTCTGGCGTTGACGTTTTCAATTGAACAAAAGCAGCAAGTTGTCTATATGGTAATTGCGGTTAGGGTATACCGCATACTGAAGAGCAACGACATATATGACAATTACATTAGTTAGGACATACACACACACACACACACACACACACACACACACACACACACACACACACACACACACACACACACACACACACACACACACACACACACACACACTAACACTAACACTAACACACACACTAACACTAACACTAACACTAACACACACAAACACAAAGATGTACTTCTGTGTGAACCATACAGCCCTGTCACGAATATGTGCTACAGAGCTCACACGCTGGCACATACCTGTTTTCATCAATATGTTATCATTCATTTGATGAATATTGACGAGCTGCTATTTGAGTTTGAAAAGCTGCCAAAGCCCACGATCTCTGTACCATTAATCTGTTTGATAAATCATGTAGCTCCGTCTAACTTGATAATATATTTAACAAACACCCTTATCCATTTAATTCTCACACGTGGAATTTGATTTATCACGGCGCTATGAATGGCATTGGTGTTGCACTCTTCTGCTTGAAATTACTGTCATGGACTTGTTAGTCCAATGTGTGAACATACGCTACTCGGTCAACAACTGGAATGCTTGTCTTCTTTAATGATCACAGATCGAGGTACCCAGGGTCAAGACAACCCCCTAGACTATCCCGTGACGTCACAGTGTCCTCTGTGGGGCAGTTGGCCCCACACGTATCCATGGAAACAGAACAGGAGTAAATAAAAGCAACATCGTGTCTTGTTGATGAAATTACAACATGCTAATCATATCGCGGGGACTAAATCGAAACTCATTGATCGCCTTGTCGATGCCAGAGAACCATTCATGGTTGTCCCCCTTTGATGATGAGCAGAAAATATTCCCAGCTGGAACACGGGCACTGAAAATGGTACTATCTATCTCAGAAATATGGTAAAACGCGGTTCCTATCACTGTTTAACGCTTACAGTATTCTGAACCATACGCTTTACCACTTCTGTAGGTACGCTAGTTAATGATCTCTGTGCCGCCATCTCCTGCGAGCGGACAATACCAATCGATAACGTTTGATAATTTAATCTGCTCATCTGCAGTTAACTCCCTTTGATAGATTCAACACTATAGACGGAGCTAATTCCATTATTCGAGCTATGGTTCCTGCAAACCAAAGTCAAACGAGAATCTCGCGAGGACGTTTCTGAGACGAGGTTTGAATTGGATGCTAGTTGGTGTATTTTAACACTGCTCTCACTTCAAGAAGACACCTAGTCAGCAGGTTTTTGTAACAGTAATTCACGAGAGGATTGTAGGGTTATGAGCAAGTCCACCGCTTCCGTCGAGTAGATTCTCAGCTGGACTAAACGCTCCTTGTTTTCCGGGATTATTGGAACTGGCATTCCGGAGAAAGCTTTGGATTATTTTCAATCAATAAGTGCGATAATAATGTTTCTTTGCTAAACACAAAGGATAGGAGCTCTTGTGTGTGTGAAAAAATTCGATTATGGCTGCTTCCGACATTGGGTCCCTAAGGATTGCTCAAAATGGGAGACCTACCTCTTTACCCGGGGATGAACTTCAAAGTATTCACCCGGAACCGTACGACGAAGAGGCTATTCACAAGGTCAGTTCTCTTTGTACATGGGTATTTTCTCGAGATCAATATCGCGTAACACTATGGCAACTATTCCCAGTGAACGGTCTATTTTGGACCGCACTTATTCAAGCATGTATTATTTCATTGGTTCCTCAAAGCGGTGTTATTGGTTTTGACTGACGCATTTGGAGAGGTGAAAATAACATTTATTGTTTCAGTTCCACAAAGCAAATACTCCAACATGCCAGAAGTCCAGATACTGACATGCATGTCAATCTCACTACATCCCTTGCAGATTCAACGTGAAAGACGTAATACAAATAATGTCAATTTCATGTTGATTTCATCGCATCGTACATATGGAACGTGTTTGTACCTCATGACCATCTCGTTGGATCTTTATAAGCATTTGTCTTATTGTCGTGTACGTGCATTAACATGGCGTAATTGGATTTCATTTCATATTAATGGACTTGTCTGGTTCTCCACGAACAACAGACATTGACTAGCACTCAGACTGTTATAGATTACACAGAAGGACTTGCTGGCTGATTCTAAGCATCTATGTCAATTTTTCTGCGACTCCATGAGTGAGGACATGCTTATAAACAGGACGTTTGCACTTATGTTTTCAATACGTCTATCATTAATTGTAAAGAACGAGTCTCCTGACCTTCAAATTCATCATACATTTCAAACCTTTTTTATTAATTTATAATTTAAAATTTTAAATTATCAATACCCCTTTACCTATATAAGGTATTTAAAATTGCAACATTTCTACATAAGAATATGCGAGAAGCCCTTCCTTGACGCAGACAGTCGAATTAAATAATGTATATCAGAGACGAAAATACTCCCGCGAACATTGAGATAACACCTTTTTTTAAGGCCTCGGCTTTCCGTGCAGACTCATGAATAGGTCCAGGAGGTGGTTATTTTAGGGTTGGATAACTATTAAACTTCGTGAAAACGGAACGTAATACCATATGGCCCCAAACTGCTTTTTAACCTAAGGGTGTAATGCTATCTGAATGGCAGGATGCAGAGAAACCACTTTCAAATGTTTACTTAATTTTATCTCAAATTTTTCAACGAAATGACCCTTGGGTAAACGCTTTCCTGGTTCATCTGCATGCATTTTCGACTCTCCATGACACATTTGATACTTTTCGCCATGCATCTTACCATGAGATGAACAAGAAAGGTACAAGTATCCGTTTATGTGCTGTGATATTTATGTTTGTTCGTTTGTCATTTAATGCCGCAAACAGCAATATTCCAGCCATATGACAATATGTAAATAATCGAGTCTGGACCAGACAATGCAGTGATTGATATCATCAACAAATGAATTACGTCGTCGGGGTATGATGACTCGCAATCACCACAACCTGACCACATAATCTGTTTGGGCGCATCTTACGACCAGCACTGGGACCTATTCTAACCCGGAAACTCCACATGGGGCATCCACTAGGAGAACCCAGCTGACTCTTCCATCATGATAGAGAAACCTAGATTAGATTGAATGCAATTTAGATCGGCTGGTTACAGTTGTAATTGACACACCACCATGCATAATGCAGGCATAATTAAATGAATTGCATATGCATGCTGTAACCAATAAGCGGATACTTTTTGTATGCTCAATGAGCTCCATGTTATGTTTCAACAATATCAAAGAATGTCATCGATTCTGACCTTTCATATAGGACAGTTGCGATATCAATATTTGAAAAGGTCACATCTTAGCAGAACCAAGATATTGCGAGGATAACGGATAGCATGGTATCATATTCCTTTTTTAAAATCCCTTGATGTCTTGTTTCAATTCCGTAATCAATAATTCACGTTCTGTTTTATCAGTCCATTCAGGTTGTGTACAATGCTATGCACCGAGGTTTGTACTACAGAACACAATTGTTCTTTTGTTACCATGGTGACTTGACCCTCGCCACAGGCAGCCATACCCGGTACATCCCCAACATCCTGTTATCCTAAACATGACTGTGGCATAAGTCTGAATTATTCCACTACGCCGAGTTTACTGTTAACTACACTAAAAGAAAGAACACACTTGAAATTTGGATTTGGCCAGAAACTTTATGAAAACGTCACTGGGCTGAAGACAGTGGACGAAACACCGCAACCTTAAGACCCTAAGCACAACTAGGATACAATCGAATAACCATTTCTTGTTTGTTATCTTTTAACAAACATCAAGCAGTTTCTTTAGCCCGGCAGTTTATGTAAGGATTTACCGTGTCAGGTGAATGTTAAACAAACACATATATTTACTTATATTAATGCATACCTATATTAACCTTTCTGACATTTTGTTGCATTGACGTAACTGGCAAAGTGTGTCTCTGCAGCATAGATGATTTCATGTAAAATGTCATCGCATGATCTGACAAGAAGATAAATGGACTAAAGCAAGGACACCATGAATGTTTGATGTGAACAGTGGTGCGGACGAATACTGTCGAATCACGCACATACAATATGCATAGCATCAATGTCACTTCCAAATCAGATCAATAGAAAGTAGCAGTGAAGGATAGTGGGCGTTGAGGATCTCATGCTAATTATGTCACGATGAGACGATGGACTTACGTGCCTGCTTGTGTGTGTGTTTGTGTGCGCGCGCGCGCGCGCGCGTGCGTGTGTGTGTGCGTGTGTGTGTGTGTGTGTGTGTGTGTGTGTGTGTGTGTGCGTGCGTGCGTGCGTGCGTGCGTGCGTGCGTGTATATGTGTGTGCATATGTGTGTGTGCGTGTGTATGTGCGTTCGTGCATGCGAGCGTGCGTGTGTGTTGCACTGCTATCTGTTTCTGTAATGCGTAGGAACATTATGTTGCAGTTAGATGCATAAAATAATGTCACGCAAGGTACACTGCACCTCGCAGTGTTAATAATGTAATCGCGTACACACGCCAACAGAATCTTTATTGCCAAGCACCAGTACAATGTTCAAGCTGTCCATATTTTCAGTTGGGATGTAGCATGATTACACCAGTCTTTAAAACATCACACAACAAGTGTAAACCCCACAGAGTGAGTGAGTTGGGTTTAACGGCGCTTTTAACAGTATTCCAGTTCTATCACGGCGTGTCAGCTTAATGTGGGAGGAAAGCCCGAAGTGATGCAGGTCTCAGACGTTTACCATTTCGGTGAAACCCACGAGCACGGGTGTGGTGCTGACAAATCTAGAAACATAATCGGGGCGAACCGGAATTCGAACCCACAATCATAGGTTTCTGGCGTGTCCAAGGGACGCAACTCTGCACAGCGAATCGCGGCGCCTTAGACGACTGGGCCACCCGTGCCCCCGTAAATCCCTTAGAACCCCGCATGAACACACCGGTCTGTAATACATCGCGTAGCTTGAATACATCATTTCGTGATGATGAGAAGTGTGGTAAGCATTCTCCGTTACATACTTTACAACAACGGCCATGCTTTTATCAAGGCATGTGGATTACATCTGGTGATGATACAAGTGACGAGTATTGATTACACTGTAATACATAATGCATTCGGAGGCATTAGCTGACGGCAAGCTTGATTATGAATGGAAGAATCACCCAGGTGTATGACTCGCAGAACTTGGTTCACACATAGCACAGGCATTCGGGAATTAGAGCAACTGGAATGACTGGTCTGTAATACACCAGTCTGTAATACTTCAAATAACGGATGTCAACCCCTTAGAACGCAGCATGAACACACCAGTCTGTAATCCTTCAAATAACGGTGTCAACACCTTAGAACACAGCATTAACACATCAGCCTGTAATACTTCAAATAACGGGTGTAAACCCCTTAGAACGCAGCATGAACACACCAGTCTGTAATACGTCAAGTAACGGGTGTCGACCCCCAAGAACGAAGCATGAACACACCAGTCTGTAATACTTCAAATAACGGATGTCAACCCCTTAGAATACAACATGAACACACCAGTCTGTAATAGTTCAAATAACGGGTGTCAACCCCTTAGAACACAGCATGAACACACCAGTCTGTAATACTTCAAATAACGGGTGTCAACCCCTTAGAACACAGCATGAACACACCAGTCTGTAATACTTCAAATAACGGGTGTCAACCCCCAAGAACGAAGCATGAACACACGAGTCTGTAATACTTCAAATAACGGGTGTCAACCCCTTAGAACGCAGCATGAACACACCAGTCTGTAATACTTCAAATAACGGATGTCAACCCTTTAGAACACAGCATGAACACACCAGTCTGTAATACTTCAAATAACGGGTGTCAACCCCTTAGAACGCAGCATGAACACACCAGTCTGTAATACTTCAAATAACGGATGTCAACCCCTTAGAACGCAGCATGAACACACCAGTCTGTAATACTTCAAATAACGGATGTCAACCCTTTAGAACGCAGCATGAACACCCCAGTCTGTAATACTTCAAATAACGGGTGTCAACCCCTCAGAACGCAGCATGAACACACCAGTCTGTAATACTTCAAATAACGGATGTCAACCCCTTAGAACGCAGCATGAACACACCAGTCTGTAATAGTTCAAATATCGGGGGTCAACCCCTTAGAACACAGCATGAACACACCAGTCTGTAATACTTCAAATATCGGGGGTCAACCCCTTAGAACGCAGCATGAACACACCAGTCTGTAATACTTCAAATAACGGATGTCAACCCCTTAGAACGCAGCATGAACACACCAGTCTGTAATACTTCAAATAACGGATGTCAACCCTTTAGAACGCAGCATGAACACCCCAGTCTGTAATACTTCAAATAACGGGTGTCAACCCCTCAGAACGCAGCATGAACACACCAGTCTGTAATACTTCAAATAACGGATGTCAACCCCTTAGAACGCAGCATGAACACACCAGCCTGTAATAGTTCAAATATCGGGGGTCAACCCCTTAGAACACAGCATGAACACACCAGTCTGTAATACTTCAAATATCGGGGGTCAACCCCTTAGAACGCAGCATGAACACACCAGTCTGTAATACTTCAAAT